ACGGCTATGGGTTCTCCTCAACAAAAACACCATGTAGCCACCACAGTCCCCACAACACACATAAAAACATCATTTCTCATAACATCAGGAGATGATCAAACTTGAGAACTGCACATTCAGTTTCCTCAGTTATCCTGGCTTAAGAAAGGAACCAGTGCTTTCATATATGCCAGTCCCTGGTTCCTTGTTTTCTACACCCTCTTCATTTTGAAGCTCAACCCAGAATACCTACCATAAATTGGAGGCTCTGTTACAACCTCAACTGTCTCTTTTAACTTTCCTGTCACTGGCATGGTCACCAGGCAGTAGAGTGTCAGCAGCTGGAGAACCAACCACTTCATGATGTTAACTCTGGATGTTTGAGTGTGTGCCACGCAGGAGACCCAGGATTTTACTAGGTCTGCAGGGGGTAGTGCAGGGCTTTGGGGTGTGGAGTTGGGAGATCATGTGACTGGTCTCTCACTGCCCCATCTGGTTCTGCCTCATCTCCTCCAGGCACCATATCTTGACTGGGCACTGGTGTCTCCTTCTCTCCTTTCTCTCCTTCTCTCCTGTCTCTCCTTTCATGAGAGAAGGTACTTTCCTTCTCTTGTGTTTTCTACTCCTCTCATTGCAGAAATGAATTCTTCTTAATTCATCATTTTTTTAATTTTAGAAATTTGAAAAACACAGAAAAGTACAAAGAAAACTAATAAGGGAGCACCTAGGTGGTTCAGTCATTAAGCCTCTGCCTTCAGCTCAGGTCATGATCCCAGGGTGCTGGGATCAAGACCCATGTTGGGCTTCCTGCTCATCAGGGAACTTGCTTCTCCCACTCCCAGTTCCCCTGCTTGTGTTCTCTCTTTCACTGTGTCTCTCTCTGTCAAATAAATAAATAAAATCTTTTTTAAAAAAGAAAACTAATAAGATATGGTCAGTTATCCATTAGCTAGATAGATAATGATATTATTCTTCTTTCACAAAATAAAATTTGGGGTTGACCTCCCAAAAAAATCATACATACTTATTGTATAAGTGTTTTAGTATATTTTTTACTTTATTTCATTTTTTTATTGTGTTATACTAGTCACCATACAATACATCATTAGTTTTTGATGTAATGTTTCAAGATTCATTGTTTACATATAACACCCAGTGCGCCATGCAATATGTGCACTCCTTCATACCCACCATATTTTAAAAGCCATTTAAGAATATCAGAAAATGGGGCAGTCTGGGTGGCTATGTTGGCTAAGCATCTGTCTTCAGCTCAGGTCCTGACCTCAGGGTCCTGTTACCAAGCTCCTCATCCCAACTGCCTCCCTGTTCAGCAGAAAACTACTCATTCTTTCTCTCTCTCTCTCAAATAGATAAAATCTTTTTTAAAAAGAGTAGCAGAAAATGTAAGTAAATTAAAACTTAAAAATCACCAAAGACATTTATAACTTGATTACAAAATTTGAAGGAGAACAACTTTTTCCTAGCCTGAATTCCCCCAACATTTTCTGTGTTTCACAAGAATTAGATCCTAAATGATACCAGCACATTTCATTTTTTCTTTTTTTTTATTATTACGTTACGTTAGTCACCATACAGTACTTCATTAGTTTTTGATGTAGTGTTCCATGATTCATTGTTTGCGTATAACACCCAGGGCTCAGCATACTTAATTTACAAATTTTGTAATCCCACTATTATATATCATTCCATTCCATTAACATGCTTTTCAGGAGGGACAGCAACAAGATGGCTTAATAATACTCCCCTGCCTGAAACCTCCCAACCCCCACAACACAATAATTTGGTATCCACCCACAAACCAAAGTACCTTAGTAGAAGCTGTGGATCCACCACCATATCCCAAGGGACCCAGGAGGAGTCTCACCCATGGATTGGGTCATAGGCATAGAGACCTTACCCTTGGCATGGGACCCTGAAGTGGCCTGGTAACTGGCTCTATCCTCCCTCAGGCACAATCTAGGAGCCACTGGAGAACACTCATTTAAACACCACCTACAGATGACAGAGCTTTGTCATGTAACAGAGAAGTTCTGTCACATTGTTGGAGAAAAAAAATCCAACTGTGGATGCATTGAAGAGGTTAAATGTAACAGTTTGACTTTACCTGCATCACACCTATTCAGATTTTTTTTTAAGTGTTCTCTAAGGAGCTGTGGATGCAAAAATGTTTAAGCTGTCTCTAGGCCCAGGCAAACGGATGTATAGTCCCTGCGTGACACTTCATTATTCCATTCTCACATTGTTTACACATATTGTACATTATCCAGATCATCTTCCCCACATTAAGTGGAAATATTTTCTACAGAAGTAAAACCTTATTAACAAGGTTGGCATGAGCTAACAACCACTGAGACTTCCTGGTGATATCCCATAACTGGCCTTCCCCTTCATTTCTACATCTTTTGTCTTTAGCTGAAGATGGTACTTGAGGAGATATCTTGGATGATTTGGGGGAGACATTCAGTTTTCCTGAGCAGTCCCATGTATACCAGAAGTTTACATTTAATAAACTACATTTACATTAAGTAAAATTCTGTTTCTTAACTTCTCCTAATACGTCTTTTATTGCAGGGATCTCAGCTAAGAACCCAGAAGGATAGAGGAAAATTGCTTTTCCTTCCCCATAATACCCAGGATCCTCAAGTGGACAATGCTTTCCTTTCCTGGTCCCTCCACTGGAGGTTCCTAATCTCTTGTTCTTCTCTACTCCTTTGGTCAGAAAGGAATAACCACTTTCACTCAATCAGGCTCCAAGTGCTCCTTCTCCCTGAAGGTTAAGACAAAGCCCCACTCCTGAAGGCTGTTTACCTGAGTCTCTGAGTCCTTGTGCCTTTTCTTTATTCTGAGCCTGAGGGCACTAACCAGTGTTCTGTTAGGCCTTAGTCCCTTGCTTGGCCTTGGTCTTTGCTGTATCACATTCTGGAACCTTTCCATGAGGACTACAGTTGATAAGTGTGATGTGCTGACTCATCCCATCTAAATGAGAATATCTCATTCTCTGGACCAGGAAGAGGCACAGATTTGAATACATTGTAGGGACTTTACAACCTCCTCATCCAAAGGAAGTTATATTTTTAAAATGATCTTTGAGATACCAATTGTAGAAATTCAGTATGGACACAGTATGGGCTGGAAAGCTTGCCGGGAATGAGCAGACATTTTAGGATATAAATAATATTACCCAGGTAAAACCACCAGGCCGACAAAACAGGTGGGAATGAAAGGATATGGAGAGTGCAGGAAGATGAATCATTCTTGTCTTGTTAATTTTGGCCATTCTAACTGGTGTAAAGTGGTATCTCAATGTGGTTTTGATTTGAATCTTCTTGATGGCTAATGATGATGAACATTTTTTTTCATGTGTCTGTTAGCCATTTGTATGTCTATTTATGTCTTCTGCCCATTTTTTTATGTAATTATCTGTTTTTTGAGTGTTGAGTTTGAGGAGTTCTTAACAAGACAAGAAATAACAAGTGTTGGAGAGGATGTGGAGAAAGGCGAACCCTCTCACACTATTGGTGGGAATGCAAGTTGGTGCAGCCACTTTGGAAAACAGTGTGAAGATTACTTAAGAAATTAAAAATAGAGCTACCCTATGACCCTGCAATTGCACTATTATTTACCCCAAAGATACAGATGTAGTGAAAAGAAGGGCAATCTGTACCCCAATGTTCATAGCAGCAATGGTCACCAAAATGTGGAAATAACCAAGATGCCCTTCAACAGATGAATGGATAAAGAAGATATGGTCCATATATACAATGGAATATTATGTCTCCATCAAAAAGGATGAATTCCCAACTTTTGTATAAACATGGATGGGACTGGAAGAGATTATGCTGAGTGAAATAAATCAAGCAGAGAGAGTCAACTATCATATGGTTTCACTTACTTGTGGAGCATAAGAAATAACATGGAGGGCATTAGGAGAAGGAAAGAAAAGGTGAATTGGGGAAAATCAGATGGGGAGATGAACCATGAGAGCCTGTGGACTCTGAGAAATAAATTGAGGGTTTGGAGGGGAGGGTTTTGGGGGGTTGGGGGAGCCTGGTGGTGGGTATTAAGGAGAGCACGTATTGCATGGAGCCCTAGGTGTGGTGCATAAACAATGAATCTTGGAACACTGAAAAAATTAAAAAAAAACAACAACAGATGAATCATTCTGGGAACTCAGTGTGCCCACCCTGAGGGCAGGAATGCCTTGTTTAATGCTGGAGGTGGGGGTGCTTTTTCCATTGGAGAGTGGTATGAAGGCCAGGGTCTTGGGTCTTGTTGAGGAGTTTGGCTTTGCATAAACACACAGTTCAGAGACTGCCATGAGTTCACCATATCTTGCTTTCTGTTGACCTTGGGCATACAGCTAGACTGTATTTCCCAGTTTCCTTTGTAAATAAGAGGACCCTATGACTACATTAGGGAAAATAGAATGTGGATGGAAACAGAGCTCCACCTTTAGGCCTGGATATTAAAACCCTTCTGTAGGAGCCTTCACGCTGCCCATTCATTCTCCCGTCTGCTGGCTGGATGCAGTCGAGTCCCTGAGAGATGATGGAGTTATAGATAGAAGGATTTAGGGCCCTTGAATCATGCATGGTATGGGGATTGTTCATCAGCCACTTGCAATGTAGTGTATTTGAGTGAGAATAAACTTTTGCTCTGTTTACTGAGATTTTTATAAATCTCTGCATTTTTGCTACAGGTATGAGTCTATTGACTAATATATAAGTCTAACAGGGAAGTAAGAGTTGGATAGGAACAACTGTTGGTGATCATAAAGACAGAAGGAAACCACAGGAGTGAAGTAAAAAACAATGCAGAGCCCTCAGGTTGGTTATCAGTTTATTTGGCAGAGACTTGAGCCTTCTCAGGATAGAGGAATCAAGGGGAGAATGGAAGTGTCTTCAGCCAGGCAAGTGAATAATCCAACAGAGATCCAGGGAGCACTCTTCTTAGACTACATAGTCATCCTCTAACCCACACCAGTGGTGTGCTAGCTAAACCTAGGAGTTTAACATGGATTTAAAGGGTTCTCTGGAAGAGACAAGTCAAGGGGTTAAAATCATGGATCTCTGAGGACATCCATTCCCAAACTTAATAGCACCCCAACCCCTGTCAATGGGAAGAGAAATTCTTGTAAGATCAGGTGTTACCCATTTTAAGCAAAATTTCCCAAGAGATTTGCCAATTGGGCAGATAGGTAGACGTGGGGTCTCTTTGGGCCTGCTTGGGACAAGGGGCCAAAGGAGATACCAGGCCAAGGAGGCAACAGTCAGGGCCTTGGACAAAGGAGGGATGAACAAACTGATTGGTGACCCTTTGGGGGAACTGAGTGAAAATGAAGGAAGAAAAGTGGAGCCCCCCACATTGGTGTCTTGGGTTTTTTGCTTTGAATGGCAGCTAGGTATGGAGATAAGAGGACATTGCCTTATGCTGCCTGTTTCTTTGACCAGGATTTGGGTATATCTATTCCATGTCACAGCTTCAGAATGAGGGTGACCAGCAGTAAGGACGTATGTTCAATCTAGCCAACTCACCTATTGTCCAAGCAAATGTTTCCACAGAAGGTCCAACAGCATGTATGATTGAGAGATAAACACTCCAGTAATTTAGTGCACCTCTTCGCACAATACTTTAATGGAGGCTGTACCCAGCACTGCTCAGTGACTCTTCTTCCAACTGGAACTGAGATGGTAGATGGTAGACGATGGTAGGTGATAGATCCATCCACCCATGACTTAGAGAAGAAACCCATCTCAAGCTTAACAATCCCTGAGCTCTGAAACCTGAGCTCAAAGTCACAAACAAAACATTTGTCTGCATTTTAAGGAAATCCTTTCCTTGAATTCTAGCTGTCTTTTCACAGGAAACTGTTCTTGCATCACATGTCTTCCCTCTTTCCACATGTCCCCACAGAATTGCAGGCCTTTGGGCCCTCCCAACCTCCCTGAAGATAGGGCCCAGGGACAACCTCGCCATCTATGACACCACCCCACATCTATTCTCACTGGACTTGGGATTTCAGGGATGGCAATATTGTCTAGCTCCACTTTCTATAACCAATTTACAGAATGGAAAACTCAGCTGGGGGAGAATGGGTACCTATTTTTCCTCTTGTCTGCTTGCTTCCATGCTCATACCACTAAGCACTCCGCCTCTCCCCAAATTCCATCTCTTTTACTGGCCCACAACCCTCTCTTCATTATCTCAGTTTTATCATCTGACCCCAAACTTTGACTCCTAAGGATTCCCTTTATTATTATTATTGTGTTATGTTAGTCACCATACAATACATCATTTAGTTTTTGATGTAGTGTTCTATGATTCATAGTTTGCATATAAAACCCAGTTCTCCATGCAATCTGTGCCCCTCTTAATACCCACCACCAGGCTCATCCATCCCCCCACCTACTCCCTTCTAAAACTCTCTGTTTGTTTCCTGGAGACCACATTCTCTCATGGTTCATCTCCCACTCCAATTTCTCCCCCTTCATTTTTCCCTTCTCCTAAAGTTCTCCATGTTTCCTTAATGTTCCACAAATAAGTGAAACTACATGATAATTTACTTTTTCTGTTTGACTTATTTCACTTAGCATAATCTCCTTCAGTCCCATCCAAGTTGATGCCCTTTTTTGTCTTTTTCATTTTTTCATATTCTAAAAGAGACTTCCCTTCCAAGTAAATAATATTTCTCTTTTGGTATTCATCAAAGGCACAGAGATTTGAAAATATGGGCTCAGAGGAAAGCTCTGTGTTGGTGTTTCCCTTGCCTAAGGTAGTCTAACATTAGAAAATATCACTTCTTGCTAGCTTATGGGATGGACTTATAGACTAAACTATGTTCCCTTTCCATATACCCATTATCACTTTCAGCTCAGACTGGGAGCTGGAAAGGCACCACATACGGAACATCCAACCTAAATCTTTTTTGGGTGTCTCTGTTTTAAGGAGGGTTGGGATCCAGGAAAGGTGGTCCCAGTATCACTTACACCAGAAATCCCAGGCCTTGGTCGACCCCCTCCTCCTGTGTCATACCACCTACAAAAAGCCTTGTTCTTGAGGCCTCCCAGCACAGGCAGAAGCATCACAACCCTATAGATGAGCATGATAAGTAGGAGAACCCAGGGCTTCACAGTCATCTCTCTGTGTGTTTGGGTTAAACTTTGTCAGAAGATAGGTCTTCTCCAAATGCCACTAGAGGTAGAACAGAAATTAAGGAGGCTAGCATCAGAAAGAGAGAGAAAGTGCTTGTGAATATTAGATTATTCTTTCTCCTACTTCTTTTCACCCCCTGGCACCTAACAACACATCAAATTAGCCATTGTCTTCCCCAAGCTATTTCCCCATCTCAAATTATATGCCACTTCCTTTGCAAAATTATTTCTTTTGAAAATGCATTGCTTTTTTCTTTTTTTTTAATTTCTTTTCAGTGTGTCCAGAATTCATTGTTTATGCACCACACCCAAAAAAAGCAATAAATTTTTAACTTTTATAATTTGTCAAAAACAACAACAACAAAAAAAGCTAAAAGGAAATAGATAAGCGTTAGGAATTCCACCACCACCACACCCCTCCCCGGGATAACCAATGTATGTATGTCCCTTTTTGTTGTACTCATATTTATGAACTTGGAATAATAGAATACATCAAGTGTCCTGATTTGTTTACTTAAGAATGTATGTAATAGGATAATATAATGGAAGTGTTAGTCCAGACCCTAGGTCTGAATACCAAAGTGATTCCAGAGTGAGTTATGTGAGATAGGTTACTCCATAGGACTTGAGAAAGTTGATGGTCAAGAACTGGTCAGGGGACTCTTAAACCTTTCACCTAAATAGATGATCCAAAGTTGAAGGAGTGGTAGACAGGGTTTTGAAGATTTTACAGGTAAAAAGATGTTCTCAGGGAAGTGGGGAAGTTGTCTTTTCTTTCCAAGTTGACAGAAAAGACTTTGTAGGTTCTATTCATAGAGCTTACTGTGTGTGTGTCTCCAGGAATTTGTAGGGATTCTGTAGACCTGAGTCATAATTGAAGATTCTAAAGGGTAATAAATCTGGCTAAAGTGGCCTTTAATACCAAAAAAGTGAGCTGCAGTTGGAGTACATCTGAATTGTAAACGGCCAGATGCCATTTTATGTCTGCAGTGAACTCTCAGTCTCCCATAAAGGAGTGCAAGATGCATAAAGCCAGCTTATGATAGCATGTACTATGTGAGAACTGTCTTACTCCCACTTACTGGTTCTTCATGCCTCTGCTACCTAGGAGACAGAAACTTTTTATAGCAGATGGGGGTGAAGGAACAGAATCATGAAGAGCCCAAGTTGGAGATACTGACCACATCAACTACAACTAGAGCTTCTAAGAGAAGGGAGAGTCCACATTTCTGAACAATGTGTGAAGTTATGGCTTATCACATGGACCTACTCATTTAATTACTATTTTTTTATTTTTTTTATTACATTATGCTAGTCACCATACAGTACATCATTAGGGTTTTTTTTATTAATTTCTTTTCAGCATAACAGAATTCATTGTTTATGCACCACACCCAGTGCTCCATGCCATATGTGCCCTCCATAATACTCACCACCTGGCTCCCCCAACCTCCCACCCCCACCCCTTCAAAACCCTCACATTGTTTTTCAGAGTCCATAGTCTCTCATGGTTCATCTCCCCTTCCAATTTCCCTCATCTCCCTTCTCCTCTCCATCTCCCTATGTCCTCCTTATTATTTGTGATGCTCCACAAATAAGTGAAACCATATGATAATTGACTCTCTCTGCTTGACTTATTTCACTCAGCATAATCTCTTCTAGTCCCGTCCATGTTGATACAAAAGTTGGGTGTTCATCCTTTCTGATGGATGCATAATACTCCATATACATCATTAGTTTTTGGTGTAGTGTTCAATGATTTATTGTTTGTGTATAACACCGAGAGCTCCATGCAATAGTGCCCTCCTTAATACCCATCACCGGGCTGACCCATCCCTACCCCCTCCCCCCTAAAACCCTCAGTTTTTTTCCTGAAGTCCATAGTCTCTCATGGTTCATCTCCCCTCCGATTTCCCCTCCTTCATTTTTCCCTTCCTTCTCCTAATTTCCTCCATGCACATTTAATTATTAAATTGAGAAGTTTTGTGACTGGAGTCACACAAAATTTGGAGACTTACCTAAGTTTTTCTGATGAGGCAAGGAAACAACTAGCCCATCTAAATAAAGTATACAGGTAGGAGAGACAAAGTAATAGGATCACATCATACAAATCATGCCAACAATTCAACTACCAATATCACAATCATTCCCCCCATATCATGAAGACTCAAATATTTCCAACTTCTTTTTGTTATAAAAAATGTCCTGATGAACCTCTTTATAACTATATCTTTGGCATATGCCTTATTATTTGTATGTATGAGTTAATAGAGAAAGATTGCTGAGCAAAAGATGTTGTCTATTTTAGACTTTGGAAAACATCTGCCACATTTTCTGTCTAAGGGTTGGGTTATACTTCCACCAACAGGATACCAGATATGTGTTACCACACATCCTGTTCTACTCAAGGTGATACAAAGGAAAATCTGCTACCACTCTGTTTGCTCTCCAGTATTTCAGTGAGGAATGACCATATGCATCAGGGTCAAATTGGCTTGAACTAGAACACCAACACCCACTCCCCCCAACTTTTAGCTGTGGGAACTGGGCTGATTGCCTAATTCCTGGAGCCTCAGCTTCCTCATCTCTATTTCTGTATAATAGAAATAATATTCATATTCATCTCATTAGGTTACTAGGATCAAATAATCTAATGTCTATGAAACACTTAGCATAGGACCCAGAACATAGTATATACTCAATAAATGCTAGCTTTTAGTATTAAGCTCAGAATTTCCTCTTGTCTAGATGTTGGAAAAATATTTTCATTTAATTTTTTTAGTTTTTTTCTTTTACACTTTACATTTCAATTTGTTGAGAATTTAACCTGTGTGAGTAGAGGGGGAGTTAATTCATTTAATAAATATCTACTGGGGGATGCCTGGGTGGCTTAGTGGGTTAAAGCTTCTGCCTTCAGCTGGGGTCATGATCCCGGGGTCCTGGGATCGAGCCCCACATCAGGCTCTCTGCTCAGCGGGGAGCCTGCTTCCTCTTCTCTCTCTCTCTGACTACTTGTGATCTCTGTCAAATAAAATAAATAAAATCTTTTTAAAAAAATAAATAAATATCTATTAGGGAGTGCCTGGGTGGCACAATTGGTTAAGTGTCTGGCTTAACACTGAGCAAGAAGCCTCATGTGGGGCTCAACCCCAGGACCCTGAGATCATGACCTGAGCCAAAGGCAGATGTTTAACCTACTGAACCACCCAGGCACCCCACTAGTGGCTGTTATATTGGACAGCTCAGACATACAACATTTCCATCACCCCTGAAAGTTCTAGAGAACAGCTATGCTCTAGAAGAATCAACCAAAATTCCTCTGCTCAAAAACAACTGTCCTGCTAGAGATCATTTAAAAGGGGCCAAATTCTTCAAAGGGGAATTTGAAAATGTTTTCTCTTTTCAGAAGAAGTGAAATTTGCAAAGCTAGAAAAATGCAAGCTTTAATCATGTGAATCTTTGACACATTGACTTTGAGCAGGTTGGATATAGGAGACCTGAGGAGAAGATGATTTGGAGAGAAAGCAGAGGAGGAGAGAAGCCTTTAAAATGTAAAAGATCAGATGGTGGGGGGGCTTCCATCTTAGATGCTTACCTCTGTTCTCCAACTTTCTCCATTCAGAGCTCATGTCCCTGCCAGCAGGCCTCAGGATGGCTCTTGAAGGAAAAGTGTCAAGTGAAGGTATTGAGACTTCATTTACCGTTGGCTAATGTTTAGTAAGAATACAACCTAATTGGTGAAGCTTTAGGCCAAAGGTGAACTACCTCTGAGCATGGTAGATTGCCAGAACTCCTATAAATCATTCACATAGTTTGCCCCAGAAAGCCAGTTTGAGATGGCAGGATACCCAGTTCTTGAGCTGGATCAGAGTGTTCTTACAATCCTCTGAAGGCAGCAATGCATAGAAACACAGAGGAGCAAAGCAGATGCTCTGTCATCCGCTTATAGGTGGGGATACGAAGTAAGAGGTAGATGGGTGACGGTGAGAATGCACTGGGGTCGGCTGGATTCCTGGACAGTGTCTTTGCACAAAGAAGGAGGAAGACTGGTGCACACTGACAGAAACATAGTAAATCCAAAGCCATGGATTCCATGAAGCTGTTTATTTATATCTAAAAATATCATCCCAGAGCAATCTATACATTCAACACCATCCCGATCAAAATAGCAATGGCGTTTTGCAAAGTGCTGGAAGAAACAATCCTAAAATTTGTATGGAACCAGAAAACACTCCAAATCACCAAGGAAATGTTAAAAAAGAAAAAATAAGCTGGGGACATCATGTTGCCTGATTTCAAGCTATATTACTATGCTGTGATCACCAAGACAGCATGGTACTGGCACAAAACAGACACATAGATCAATTGAACAGAATAGAAGGCCCAGATATGGACATTCAACTCTATGGTCAATTGATTTTGACAAAGCAGGAAAAATGTCCAATAGGAAAAAGACAGTATCGTCAATAAATCATGCTGGGATAATTGGACAGATATACATAGATGACTCAAACTCGACCATATTCTTATACCATACACAAAGATAAACTCAAATGGATGAAAGACCTCAATGTGAAACAGGAATCCACCAAAATCCTAGAGGATAACATGGACAGTAACCTCTTTGACATTGGCCACAGTAACTTCTTTAAAGATATGTCTCCAAAGGCAAAGGAAACTAAAGTGAAAATGAATCTTCGGGACTTCGTCAAGATAAAAAGCTTCTGCACAGCAATGGAAATACTCAACAAAACAAAGAGGCAACCCACGGAATGAAAGAAGATATTTGCAAATGACACTACAGATAAAGGGCGGGTATTCAAGATCTATAAAGAACTTCTCAAATTCAACACCCAGAAAGCAAATAATCAAGTAAAAAAATGGACAGAAGACACAACAGACCCTTATCCAAAGATGACATACAAATGGCTAAGAGACACATGAAAAAAATGCTCAATATCATTCAGGGAAATTCAAATCAAAAC